AGATTGCACTGAAGATGGAGTGGGAAAAACTTGATGTGACCATTTTAGAACGGGTTACTGCATCAATGCCACGAAGAATTAATGCAGTATTGGGGGCCAATTAAATATTAAATAAATTTTATTTTTTATTTGGTGTAAATCAAATAAATTGAAAAATGATTATTTTTTAATTTTGCATTGGGCGATACTTTCTGTGGGTACTATCGCTATCATGTATTTAGTGTTGCACTAATTATGACCGAAATGGAAGGTGGGCGAATTTCTAACTAGCAGCTAAATTTTTTTTTGCACTACATACTTCTAACCTTATTCGATATTCTATGTAAACCACACTTTACCTCACTAATCCTTTTTGGCATAGATTCGTACAATTTGGAACAATAATCGCTCTTGCAACTTTTCCCACAACCGTTCTGTGGTTAAAAGTGGTCCAGGAAGTTGTCCCATAAATTTTCTATAGGGTTTAGGTCGGTAGACTGGGATGGCCAGTCTAGCAAAGTGATCTCGTCGGTGAACCATTGCTTTGCTTTCCGGAGACGTGTTTTGGGTCATTAGCTTGCTGGAAGATAAAATCACTATCCTCCAGCCCCTTCTCCTAGAATATTATTTGTTAGAATTTCCAAATAGCCATCCGCATTCGTTTTCCCACAATTTTTCTCAACTCGCCAACACCATCGCCCGTTGCGCAACCCCAAACCATAATCGAACCACCGCCAAATTTAAAGTTAGCGTAATATGCTGGTCTTTTAACTGACCACCGGGCTTCTTCCAGCAATACTTTCGGCCATCCGACCCGAAAATTTGGTACTTGCACTCGTCAGACCAAATTGCGCATCGCCGTCCAAGTTCGGTATTTTTTCGCCCACGCCAACCGTCGTTTTTCGTGTGTTCGTTTGAGGTAAGGCTTCTTTCGTTTTATGTGAACGAATAATCCGTTTCTACGGAGCATACGTCGTATGCTTTCCACCGAAAGGTCGACGTCCAACTCATTTTTAGGCTCTCGTAGGACCTCGACAGCGGTGGAACATTTTCCGGAGTGGATTAATCGGCACGCATTTCTTTTCGTAGCGTGCCGAGAGGATTGGTCGGCGACCGGCTTTTGGCTTGTCGAAGCTCCCAGTCTCTTCCTTCTTTTTGCATATCCGGTAGACGGAGCCGGGTCTACTTTGTTCCGATACTGCGATTTCTCGCATCGAATATCCTTCTTTTCGGAGCGTGTATATACATATACGGGCGCGTTTCTCTATAGGGATTATAGGCATATTATGAAAAATAGATCAGTTTATTTGTTAGAATGTGAAGATTTATTTTTTTAATTTACAAACAATCAAAAGCGTTTGTACCTATCTTTATATAGCCCTTCCGTCCACCTTCCCGTTCGGTCCTAATAAGTGCAACGCTAAAAGAAGATAAAAAAGTTAATGCATCCTTAATCAAAAGATAAAATCGAATAAATTTTGATACTGTAGATATTGCTGAATCAATACACTCACCTTTTGGTTACCCAAGTTCTCCCTACGGCGAGGTATTCGTATCTCCGCTGTTTTTTTTCCGTGTTGCGTTTCTTTTGTGAGCTACTGTAAGTATAAATCATTTATAGATCAGAATTGGGCGCCGAATCTAAAACTATGAATGAAACTATTTGAAATAGTTTAGACGCCCAACTCTAATATAGTTACATACCTTTCATCCCTTGTCCATTATAATATTTACGCCACGAACTTGAAAATAAGAACATTTGCTAGTTACTGATTTGTTTCTTCATATTTCCTAAACTTAATGACAACTTCTGCGCTTTTATCCTCATTTTGTGTTTTTTTCTTTTACATATAATTCATCTTTTTAACATAAGAAATGCTTCCGCCAATTTTTGCACCAAAATTGTCCAAAATCTTTTGAGACCTGTTCAAGGAATTCATGGTAATTCGACTCGAGTGCTGCATCTACGACACAGAGGATATTACGATGATCCTTCAAATCCTAATGGAATTGGCAAATGATATTAAAATTAACAGAAATCGTGAGAAAAATACCAAAAGATTTCGGAACATTCGGCCCAAGATCAAGTTTTTCTATCTTAGAATCACTTGGGTGATATAAAAGTATCTTGTAAATATTATGCCCTTCTAGAGCTGATAGTAATGATTGTGAAACTGTTAAGTATAATTCAGGCCAGTTTTAAAACATGATTAATAAGCAAACTTTTTTCATAATGATTGTAATATTAAAGAATTTACTAAACTGAGCGTGGTAAGTTTTCACTTTTCTGGTTCGTTTAGAAAGTGGTGTACCGTTGTAGGGTCGCGTCCGACACCATTTTTTAACCTAACGAAATTATAGTATTGACGAAATGGCAAAAGATAAAATAAAGTGATGTTTATTATCAAAAAATGGTTACACACGTAAATCGGGCGATACAAATCAATTTTGATATTGAAGAATCACTATACTCACCTTTTAGTTTAGATATTCGTATCTCGCCGTTTTTTTTCCGTGTTGCGTTTATTTTATGAGCCACTGTCTTCTATACATATAATTCATAGGATGGATTACATCTTTAGAAGATTATACAACATGGCGGTTATTCTGATATTTGATATCCTTGATGACGAAAGAAGAAAGGTAGCAACAATTTTGAGAAAATGAATTATCGATCCTCAAATTGTAAAACTGGATTTCAAAATGGATATTTCTACACCGTATCAATAAAGTTAGATTGGATCGTATTTGGAACATCAACTGTGTTGAATTTACCCAACGAGCCAGTTTTTGAAAGTGGAGAATTACCATTCACAGTGAAAAATGAGCATTGTTCAGCGATTATTCGTTCATATGAACTGAATTCTATTGGCTACTTATTTTTCGAGATCTAAAAATTTGCTAGAAAATAAACGAAATCCAAGTAATTTACAAGATCGCATTTTGTTTACAATAATGATGCTATTGAGGCTTGTGCTTTTTTCTATGATCTAGAAAAAAGCAAGTGCTTAAATATGTTATTGCTATCTCTATTAATATTCGAAGTTTATCATAACGATATATTATGGATTTGATTTAAATTACAGGTAAACATGATTTTTTTATCGTTATCTTTATCTTAATTATAATTTAATCCTTTTAATCTCATTATAATATCCGGCAACATACTGATAAACTTGGTTAAGCACAAATAAATAGCGTAACTTCCGATCTTTATTATTTGTCAAACAAAATCTAGTTTAACGTTAACATCTAGACATGAATTTCAACCTATTTCACCAACGCTCACAACACGATCACGATGAATTCTATATATATTAACTTCTTCATCGATAAAAGGAAACTGTCCTCACGTCGTCTTTGATATTACGCCGAACATGCGGAATCTCAGTCTTTATACAAGGTGGATTTATTTTAGTGTCCCCCCCCCCCCGGGGGGGGGGGGGTACATTTATTTTGGTTTATGACGATGGAATAGAATCTAATTCAGAATTTTCAAAAACAATATACATGTATTATCCGTTCATAATTTAATTGTATTATCTATAATAATAAGAAGATATTTAGTGAATTTGCCTAATTTATGTATGATGGTTTCTATAAGACTGCTATAAAAAACATTGTGGTCTATTTGTTCTGGGTTAATCACAAAAAAATATCGTCTTTACAAAATATTTTTACGTAAAAATTTTTTTGTTTGCAAATTACATATCGAATATTATTTAGTCAGGTGGTTTAATAGTTATTTCCTTTTCTTTATAAACCATAACTTTTGATAGCAAAGTCTGCGATAGAGGGGAGCAAGCCAATTGCTAGTCATCAAGCGATGGCCGGCTGATTCGTTGCAGAGAGTTTATGGGGTTTGTTTAACACAAAGGTGCCTGTGCAGAGGGAAACTCAGAAGCCAATATTGGAGAGTCATCATCAAGCGGTAGCCGGCCTTATGTGAAGAACAGCCCACTTTATTAAACGCTTCATTTACTTTGTTAAATAAGATACTGATGATAATCACAATTTCTTTCTATATCTTTTACTCGTAAGTAATGAAATTCTCTTCGTGGGTAACCGGCAAGAAGTCAACATCAATTGGATGTTAACTTGTCCCGATCCAACTCCAATCGCATTTTTCCGATATATATTTCCAGCACGTCGAATTAAAGCAATTGATAATTATCGGATAGCACCTGATCTGGCCTTGAATACTACTTTCAATCAGAAGGTGCGTGATAAACTAAAAATAATGAAAGAAATAGTGGATGTTACGGATACTGAAGACGCCTGAAAAGCAAGTCTCTATTAGTGATCCTTGGTAAAGGATCTAGAACGGTATTCTATTTCTTTCAGACATACCTCAAAAACTTCTGATAATTCTGTACATACAGAGCGGTATCTGCTCTTTGAAGATGAAGAAACATACTTAAAATATTTAGAAGATAAAAAGCTAGATAACTAAAAAGTTTAAATTTTCGACGAATAATGCGTATTATTTCAAGTAAAATATATATTTTTTCATTAAAAAAGAAGCTCAGCTGTAGATTTTGTTCATGACTAAATATCATAATAGACTTCACGTTCTTTTAATTGATTGTTTTTCTATTCTCGAAGAAACAATCAAGACGACAATATTTTTTTACTCTACATGTACTTCTAGTAGCTATATTTGTATTATATAGTTTTACTAGATGAGCGGGTGAGCATGTATATATGCGTTTAAAAAGCCGATATCGATTTTCTGCAGTATCCGATAATTCTTTTTCTTCGCCGACAACGAGCAAAATAAATCAGCGTTATTCTAAAATAGTCATCGTATTTTTATTTGCAGTACATATGCTTAACGTTAGTACATGTCGATGTATTAACTTTAAAAAATTTGTGATACATACATCTAATCGCGCGCGATCATCTATAGTTCGATCAATTGATAATCTATTAATATTGTTACCGTTGCATTTTTATCTCATCTTTGCGTGAAGGATGAACGCCATAAAATTGATTTAAGTTTATATATAAAGAGGTTCAATTGCTGAAAAAACAACACTACATATTAAATTTTTATCTCCTCAACCATGATTTCAAAAAGTCAAATTCTTTTTTCAGTTGTACCACGTTCATCAGCATTTATCATCAACAAGATCCGTATCAATCTAGCTGCAAAAACATCTTTTTCTTCTCTTCAATGTTCTCATCATTATTCTACAAATTCCGCCGTCACTTCATCTTCTCAACCTAAAATTCCACATTTTATCACATTAGCAGATTTTTCATCAACCCAAATTTACAATTTACTTGTTTCATCGATTAATCACAAGAACAATGCAAAGTATCTAAATAAATCATCGGGTGCGCCATTGGCTGGAAAGAGTTTAGCACTTATGTTTTCAAAAAGATCTACACGGACTAGAGTTGCTACCGAGACTGCAGTTGCTTATTTAGGTATCTTGTTATTGATAATGGCTATATCTTTTTGATTCTGAACTATGAACCCTATTTGATAGGTGGTCATCCATTTTTCCTTGGATCCCAGGATATTCAATTGGGTGTCAATGAATCATTACTTGACACAAGTAAAGTTTTATCAAGTATGGTTGATGGAATTATGGCACGTGTTGGATCACATGATGAAATTGAGGTTAATATTTTTTTTAATTATTGATGCAAGATTAAATACAGCAATAAATTAAATGAGTTATTTTATATTATCAATTGATAGACTCTTGCCAAATATTCTTCTGTGCCAATTATAAATGCATTATCCGATAAATACCATCCAACACAAATTCTTGCCGATCTGATGACACTACATGAGGTCTATTTACCACAATCTGCCTCTTATAATGCACATTTAACACACCCAAAAGAAACCTTACCTGGTCTCAAAATCGCGTGGGTTGGCGATGGAAACAATATTTTACATAGTATGCTAGTCACTTTCCCCAAACTAGGTATTCATTTGTCGGCTGCAACTCCTAAAGGTTATCAACCAAACACTGAAGTGGTTGCAATTGCGAAACGTGATGCGGCAAAGACTGGTGCAAAATTATCACTTACTTCCGATCCAAAGGAAGCTGTTCATGAAGCTGATGTCATCGTTACTGATACTTGGTTGGTTTTGTTAATTACTGGTCCGTCAATAATTAATAATGAATATATGTAACAAATTATTAATATTTTTAGGATGAGTATGGGTCAAGAATCCGAAAAAGAAAAACGTCTTCTAGATTTCGCCGGGTATCAAGTCACATCGGAATTAGCCAAAGAAGGGGGTGCTAAATCAGACTGGAAGTTTTTACATTGTTTGCCACGTAAACAGCATGAGGTCACCGACGAGGTATAATTCAATCTTCTTGTTAAGATAGAAAATTTTTGAATGAAGTCTTTTATATATATAAATATATACGTATATATTAGGTTTTCTATTCTCCGAGATCTGTCGTTTTTCAAGAAGCAGAAAACCGTAAATGGACTATTCTGGCTGTTATCGATGCACTTCTCGTCAAGAAAGGATTTGAATAATTAAAATAACTAAAAGTATCTCTGGATTTTTCCTTTTGATTTTGAGTTTTATTTCATATATAATATTACTTGTCTTTTCATTATTAAAGTAAATAGCATGATTTGGTTCATTTTATTCATCGTTGAATGTTTTATATGATAAATTTCCCGATTTTGTTAGTATTATATTAGTATGAAGACCTTAATATATTTATTCAATTTGATATATTTAGTAATTTAAATCAAATTCATTACCACAAATGCATAATGAGGAATTACAATAAAATAAGACACTAATAGAAAAACATTTCTTGTCATCAAAGAAGATGGTGACTATTTTATTATCTTTTTAATTTGTTAACTGTTTTGTGCATATCCCAGCATAATAGCTAACTATGGCTATATTCACATGTATTTATTTTCAAATTTACTGCTTATTTCGAGGCGAGTAACTCATTAAGTAATAACAAAAAATGCATTTTTTGATCTTAGCGCATTATCTTTATTACTAACGATAATAATATTTTATTATTAAGGTTAGAACTGGAAGAAAGACTGTGTGTAAATTGACTTCCCGACTTTGTCATTTTCCTGCGCCTGATTGTTTTGCCAAAAATTTTGCATCAGGACACGATACATGTACTGTACATGTATATGTTCGGTAGACAAAATCTGGAATCAGGTGATGATCGGCGTAATTAAGAGGTACAGTACATGTAATTTCAAACGATTATTTTGCAACAAGGAAAGGTTCAATTACGACGCACATTAGAAAGCTAAAATCTCAAGCTTTCAAACAAAATTAAAAAATTCAATATAAATTCAACCAATACTCATAAAAATTGCAAACTTACAGATTTTGAGACTATCAGCACTTGGAAGTGTGGTTTATCCGGAAAAAAAATCTGGGATGATCCAAATCTACTGTTCCTAATGTTATTAATAAATACAAAGACTTTGGCCACACTACAGTTGCTGTCCGAAGTGGTGGATCACCAAAATTGGACGATAGAGCCATTACAATATTATTAAAGAAGTTCGACAACAAGCAGTTACTGAAATTACTGAAAAATTCAATACTGCTATGACTGTAACTGTTAGTGAAAGAACTATACGACATGCTCTTCATGGTCAGGCTCGGATGAGAAAACCTGGATTAATAAATGGGAATTAGTACATGTAGTTTGAAGTGACGAATAAAGATATTTAATATTCTGAAATGATTCCCATCAATGGATTTGGTGTAAACCACATGAAAAATTCGATGTTGAATGTCTTCTTCCTACTATGAAATCGGGTAATCAGGGAGTAATGATATGGAGATGTTTTACTCAAAATGTACTTGGATCCTTAATCGAAGTTGAGGGTGGAAATTACTGGTATAAAGTATATAGAAATAATAGAACAGAATCTTCTACCATTTCTAAATGATTTACCAGGTAGTTTTGTTCATCTTTTTCAAGATGACAATGCTCCAGTTTACAGATTTGGTCCAGCTAGTCAATGGAAAGAGGAAAATTTAATTATTTCACTTCCATGGCCTACCCAGTGCCCTGATCTAAATCTAATTGAGCATTTGTGGAGAATGATGTTTCTTAACTAAATGGTTATGTATTATCATTAAATGGTTGTAAGTATTCGAAGGTGTAATTTAAGAACATTGAAATTTGATCAAAGGTAATCGGTGATTTTTTTTATCTTTCCTAAAAAGACCCAGTGAACGATATGAAATTAGGATCTTAATATATATTTCTTTTTGTTATTTTATAATAATCTTTTCCACTATTATATTACAAAACCTGCATCTAGAAATTCAACCAAGGAGATCAAACGAGAAATTTCAACAATGGACATATGATGCTAACAGCTGCACAATAAATTCTGCTCTTCCGTATTATGTTGTTACTGTAAAAGTACATGGTCGATTTCTAATTTTTTCTCTAATCTTGTTAATTTAAATATTAATTCTTATTTTGCTAAGAATATCAAATTGTCCAAAACGATAACTGTAAAGTGAAACACAGTGTTAGCAATTTTTATCTAGCATGACCCAAATTATTATCATACTTTTAATATGTCATCATACTAGAAAAACTACAGTAAATTAATTAATACTTTGTTTCGCACTTGTTTTCGATTGTTGTATGTTTGAGCAAATATTACTATCTTTCCCTTTATTAGTGAGTTACATTGCGAATAGAGAGCAAATTAAGAAAAAGAAAAATGACAGCAAATTCATTTTTGTCTAGCAAATGGTTAATAGTATGCTGTTGAAATTCAATAAAGCTAGTTTTTTCTAGTATGTGATTATAAATAATTTTGCGATAGGCTTCCCAAGGGTGGTCATTTTGTGAAGATTAAACTGATTTTGAACCTATCGAAAAAGATTATTTTAGCTAAATTCAACCTAGCTAGTGACAGCTTTCCGATCATTATGCGTATTATACACACAATTATGGGTCAGTGCAAAAAGATTTGTACCTCAATATAAAAATCAATAATTGTACAGTGGTAAAGTTGATTTGTCAGATCATAGAGTGCCAACACTTTCTTTATAATTTTTTTATATTAAATAAAAAATGATCTAAATTTAACTTTTTATATTATTTTATCTATTTTATTATACTTTAATTCAATAACAATGAAGCATTACTTTATTAAAAAAAACTAAAATAAATTTTTTTTAAAAAAACATTTTAAATATTATCACTATCAATTTGCAATATTAAAACTTCAAATTATGCAAGCAGGTTGCTTTAGATTTGATAAATGTATATTTTAAATTTCATAAAATTGAATCAGTAGTTATAAAGATATTAAGATTCAAAGTTGAGTTATTAAATTATTTACTATATCATTTTTATATTAATTTTAATCAAATTTTATATAGTAAAATTTAGGAAACAATAATTAAAAAAAGTTATTATTAATAAAATTTTTTTTATAAAAGATATATAATAAAAATTTAAATAAATTTCAATAATTAATACAGTAACTTAATTAAATAAGATATAATTAAATTTTATTTTGAAAAAATAATCTATTAATAATTATCTAAGATACAAATCTTTTTATATCAATCTATAGCTTGAAATTAGATGTATAGTTTCTGATTGTATCAATATTCTTTAATATAATGAGAATAAAGAAATAAAAATTAATTTTACTCTGAATATACAAATAATTATTATATACAATATGTTAAGAAAAAAATAGTAATAAAAATTCATATATCTTAATAATTATAAAATTAAATAAAATAAATTTAAGCTTGTTTGAAAGCTTATTAAATATTTTATTTAATAATAAAATTTCAGAATGAAATTCTATTTCTATTATTTAATAAAATTGATTTGTATCTGCTTTATATGAAAGAAACTAAATCATTAATTATTTTCTGAGAAATTATATCTCATTTCTCAGTTATAAATCTTATTAATTCATTTATATTTTATAATATTCATTATTTTTATAATTTATCATATATTTTTAATAGAATTAAAATCTAGACTATTAAATAACCAGTTAATTAAGTGGATTGAATTTTTAGTAATGAATTTCTTAGTAATATATAATATATATTTTGAATTATTATTCTATTACAAATACTAATATCTTCCATATATTCTTTGAATTGCAGATAAAAGTTGAATTTGTAATATTTTTATATAAAAAGAGCTATTCATAATATTAGTAAAATAAAATAAGAGAGTTTTTTTTATTTGAAAAATATCTTTTTATATTATTACTTTTTGATAGAACTTGAATAATTTTTAAATAGATTTATCTTTAGTTTTATATTAATAATAAATCTTGTTTTGAAAGATATTAAATTTATTTTATTTATAAATATTATTTAATTTTAATTATTATTTATATATATTTGTATTTATTATTTTATAAATATTAGTATTAATAAAGATATAGAGCTTTTATATTTCTTTTTTTATATAATTTCATATTATAATATATAAAATTAATATATTCTGTATGTTTTCTATTTTTATAGCAAGTTAATAGATTAAAAAAATATTATTATATTAGATATTCTGTCTGATAATACAAAATAATATTTGTATAATCTTGATTTTATATTCATTTTCATACTTATACTCAATGCTATCTGCTTTTCTAGGTTTTTTAAGATTATATTCAATTATATAAAGAGAAATATCTATTATCTCATATATTATTTTGACTAAATGTGTAAGATTATTTTGTTAATGTTTGTAAACAAGATAAAATGCGATATGAATAAGTTTTAATTTTATAACTTATGAT